CGAAATTTTTTCCCACTGATTCCGGGACCCATCTTTCCACAGCCAACTCAGCGCACTCCATTCACTCGACTTTCGCTCTGTATTTTAGCGATATGTCATGTGTGATTTTTCAATACAGTGGTAAGCGCGGGCCGTCGTTTACGTATCAACGGTCGGTGGTTCGAATCCCGTAATGTTTTCTATTATTTTCCTTGTGTTTTTCTGTATTTTCTATTTTATGCCATGTTAACTCATGTTTTCCAATTAATACAGCAATATGTTTACCAGGATTTATTTTACAGCAATTTAATTAAAATTTATTTATTATTTTATTTAATTAATTTATCATGTGTTAATTAAATTTATAATTTAGGGTTAGGGTGTAGGGTTCAGGTTAGGGTCCGGAACTGCAGTGGGAAAAAAATTGCCGCGCCCGCGACAACTGGCGGCGTAGCTAATAAATCTTTTTCCCTGGTTGGGGCAAACCAGGCTTACGCTCCATTAGGAGTGGTTCCCAAGCTTTGGATATCATTAATGATTAACTGATTTGTTAATCGCTTAACCCTAACCCTAACCTTAAATGAATTAAACCACAAACTAATATATGACCATGACCATAGTATACTATATTAGGGTTTTTTATACCATTAGATTGACATTTAAAGTTGCGAACACTCTTAATGAGAGTTCGACCCCCAAACCACGCTGCTGTTGTTTAGATCTGATTGACCCGCTGGCGGTTCCCCAATAACCACGCTATATTTATGGGTCTGGGGTGGCAAATACAATTTCGCAGCTTTCTTGGCTAGCCGATAGGTCTTAAAAACAAGAATTAAATTGCTCTTGGCGAATGCAGATTGGTGTGTGTGCGTGCGTTGTCGGCGACGCGGGGCCGTGATGTGTGCGTTATGTGTGCCGGTGCGCGTGCGGTTTGAGCGTGGTGGGTGTTGCCGGTGCGTGAGAGAAGCCTGAAGGGAGGGAGAGAGAGAGAGAGAGAGAGATGAGAGAGAGAGAGAGCACGAGAGAGAGACAGAGAGAGTACGACGGAGAGAAGCACTGCGAGGTGCCGAATACACGGACTTGATCTTTAACAGGGATTCGGGGCGAACGTTCAGGACAGGAATACCCATCGTATGTCTCTTTGCGCATCATGCATATGGTTGATCCGGAAACAGGCACTTGGAGCGTTTCAAATAAAATATAATGCTAAATGATGACGTTGATATTGATTGGATAAATGGTGGGATGGACGAGTGGATGAATGTGTGTGCTGCGTGCGTGTGTGGGTATACATAGTGTGTCGTGGTGCGTGATGTGGTGGTGTGGTGTGTGTGTGTGTGTGTGTGTGTGGTCCCGCACAGCCGCGCGGTGTGCTGCTGGTGTGCTGTGTGTGGTGTGTGCTGTGCTGTGGTATGCGGTGTGTGCTGTTGTAGTGTGTGTGCTACCGTAACCATTAGGCCGAGGGCCCCCTCACTTTACGATCACGATGTGAGAGCTTGAGGATAGTCGGTAGAGACCCGGAACAAATTGCCGGAAGTCACCAGCGTTCACTCATTGTGTTCGCAACTAAACCGGTCTTCAGCGCCTGAGACACGATCGCGCGTTTCGATGTGATTAAGGCGGCCGGGCTCACACGGACGTTTTTTTGGCCTCGAGCCTAATGGAGGCCCGCGCTCAAATTGTGGCTCGAGCCGAGCGTTCACACGGGACGTTTTTGCGCCAGCCTAATGGAGGCCCGCGCCCCAAAGTTTTGGCTCGAGCAGCGTTCACACGGTCCTGGCCGAGCGTTTTTTGGCCCGAGCCTAAGGTGAGGGCCCGCGCGCCAATTTGGCTCGAGCCGATCCGCGTTCACAACGGACGGTTTTTCGTCGGTGGCGTGCGAGTTAGGCACGAGCCATTTGGTGCCCATCGAAAACGTCTCTGGACCAGGTCACGCACGCGCGGACACAAACATACGCACACACACACGCACGCATACACCCCCCCCACCCACACACACACACACACGCGCGCGCGCGCGCGCTCGCGAACACAAACATACGCACGCACGCACACACACACGCACGCATACACCCACGCGCGCACACACCACACACCACGCGGGCTTTGATTAGACATGTTCACTCGTTATTGATCCTCGTTAGCGTCTACGGCAGCTGCTAATTTCGCTACTGTAATGAAAGTGTAAACATAAGCGATGTTAGAACGCTTTAACGACAAACCATTTTAACGACAAGCCATTGTTGCAATGGTTTGTTTTAACGACAAGCCATTGTTGCCAGTACTACTAATTATCTACTACGACTGCTAATAACCGCCTACTGCGGAAAGACGCGTCTGTCAATATCACGGAATCGGCGCGAAATGACCCGCTTGACCTCATGAGGTATACCGGTCAGTATGACGAACGACCCAGCTCCCGACGTGAATGGTAAGAGGAAATAATATCACGGTTGGGGGAACAAGTGGTTCATTCTCAGTTTCCCAGGCAAAGAAATACTTTATTTCCCGGTTTCCGGTCAATTAAAATAACAATTTCGATTGTTCCGCGTCTCGGTTGACGTCTATTTTCAAATCACGAAAAATGCATGTGGAATTTACCGGTTTTGTTGCATTTAAAATTGTGAGATGCCCATGCCCCTAAAACAACTGTTATCATATAATAATGTCTCTAGAACTATAATAACGTAATTATTCTTATTGCATCAGGAGAGTATGAGGAATTAGTATATTTCACTAACTCCGACACAAAAAATAATCAAACAAACAAACAATAGCGACGATGACAACAACATCATCATCAGCACCATCATCATCATAATCAGCATCAACAACAACAACAACAACAACAACAACAACAACAACAACAACAACACCAACAGCAACAGCAATAATAATAATAATAATACTAATAATAATAATAATAATAACAACAGTATGCAGTTAGTCTCTGATCTATTGCGTATTCCTGGTGATTCCCGCTAGTATATATTTAATTCTAGCGATTCTCTCGATCGGCGCTATAGTCGGTCAGCACGGCTTATCAGTGACCGATCGATACATGTAAATTGCATCATGTATCGATTGCCACTCGTCGCGACCCAGCTCTATGTACGGATGCTGTATAAAACAGCGGCTCGCGGATCGTAAACGCGTGACGGCTGTTCGTTACCGCCGTCAATTCATCGGCCAGCCTGAATGCGCGTTAGGGATTCTTCGGAGTAATTTTGCTAACTTGGCACGACGTTAATAGGCATTAAGCGTGGCCCATATATAATCAATCATATAAATCACTGCGAGCTGATCTGTCCGCCTCGGACGTGAACGACTGGAGAGTGTTCGTCAGGCGTAAATGAAACCTTGTAGCAGGTAAGCGTAGCGGGAGAGATTTTAATGCTATAAAAAGAGTAATGTCGGAAACCGTATTAAGGCGAGGAGCGGAACCGGCTAAAATGTTGCACGTTGGCTCATATTCACGCACACAATCACGCAGAACGGAATCGCACGCACGCACGCACACACACACACACACACACACACACACACACACTCACACACACAACACTGTTTGAAGAGCGGATTCACCGACCAATCGGAGGGCGCTGCGTTTGCCGATCGCTATGCGCATTGGGAAATGCGTACGTCACAGGTCAACAGAAATGGCGCTCAGTATATTCGCCGCTCGTCACTTCGAATTTTTGTAACAGGTTATATTACTATTAGTTTAATACAGAGTATTGCGATACATAGTAAGTTCCCAGATAGCGGAGAAAGGTTCGTGTTGAGAATAAACCCAGTTTGGAAGTTCTAACTTCTAGTATCTGAAAACGCACCAGCAAACCGGCCCGAGTGATTCACTCGGGCATTCCTCCGCACAATAGGATAGGGAGGCTTTGTAACCCTATCCTCTTGGGTTTGGGTTACATTATTGTATCTAAATAATATTATGATTAAAAATATATAGGCCTAGTCGTGCCTTCTCTCTTGAGTCTTGTCTTGCAACATGTGCCGTCTTCAAAGCCTTAGCTTCTTCGTTTCTTTCTTTCCATATTGGAATTTTTTTTCGCCCTTTGGTTAATTGCAAAATTGAAGGTTTTCCACGGTCTATAGTGTATCATAATCATGTAACGTGTTGTCGATCCGTCTATTTGGTCAACCTTTTCTCTCTGTGTGACCTGTCTTCGTCTTCGATAGACTTGCCTAAAACGAATCTTTATGAGGTATGAGAATTGGTTTGATCAGTTGATGCTGTGACAGTTGATCAGTTAGCGAATAGCAATGTAATATGTGTAGGTACACCCCAGATTGTATATTCCAGCGTGGCTAGATACGAACGTCTAAAACTGCCTGACCACATACATTTCACTCTTTCAGTTTAAAGATCTGAGTACCATATACAGGCAACCATTTATCGCCTAAATAAATATTTACAATGCTTATGCTAGCCGCACACTATCCGACCCGAGCGCGATTTGAAGGCTTACGATTGGATCGAGATGTTCTAGTTTGGCTCGGGAGGCTTAAGATTGGCTCGGGAGGTCATTTTGGCCCGATTCGAATTTTGAATCGGGAGCAGATCGGGTCGGATAGTGTGCGAGGGCTTACGACGCGACTCGGATAGTGTGCGTGGCCATCCGACCTGATCGACGAGCGCTGAAGACAATTGACCAATCACAGAGCTGCGCCATGGGAACCGCATTCGAATGGAATGGCATTCGAACCATGGGAAACACTCCCGACGCTTAGTACACGCTAAATCCGCTTGGAACGCCACGAGAGTGCCATGGTTTGCGTCAACTTTGAGTCGGACAGTGTGCGGTGGCCTCCCAATCGATCGGGATCGGGTCGGATAGTGTGCGGGGCGTTAGTGCTGTGCACAGTGCAAAATCGGATAGTGTGCGGCTAGCATTACTAAACCCAGAGTAAAATGAGCAGGACAATCACATACGAGAAGGGAAATTATTGGGTACATCTTTAAGCCAGTGTCCAAATTCCCACAATACAACTGTCTTATCTTGCAGTTTCTGCAGCCCTCTGTGTTTAGGGGATCTGATCAAGGCTCGTTGAGCACGGATGGAAGGTATAGGAGTGTCACTTTCCCCCGGCCGTAGAGGGAGGGTGTCGCTACGTGGCAGCACTAGTCACTTCGTACACTTCCGTCATTCCACAGTCTTACTTCCATGCTAGGCATGGCCTTATTTCCCTAACCCTAATCCTAACCCTAATCCTAACTCTAACCCTGACCCTGACCCTAACCCTAATCCTAACACTAGTGCTGCCACGTAGCAGCACCCTCCCTCTACGCCTGGGCGAAAGTGACACCGAAGGTATAGCGGTTCTATTGTGGCATTTTTTTAGATCAGCTTGATGATATTGTGTAAAATACTATGTTAACAAATGCTTTACCTCACAATTATCCTCTTGCATGCCCTACCCAATTTTGCAGGTCATTAATTAAGCTTGTTGGGTGTCGGTAAGTCATGTAATTATTTTTCTACATGATCAGTGGTTGCTGCTATACGCTAACCAAAAATCGTATCACTTCGACAAGAATAAGTGAGTAACTAAATGATTTTATAATGAGCCTGCTAATTGAACGGGACACAGAAACCCAAAAATGAAACAGTCAAACACACTATCAGGAAATTGAAATTGCCCGGACACGGATTGGCACTCGGTTTCAGTCAATCATGAATTTGAGTTACATTCATGGTGAACCCTATTGGCATTGAATTCCGTGATGTTACTAAACTTGTCTTAAGAAATATCATGTGAATCATTAAGAAGGCAATGCACTCTAGCACCCAGTAATTAGAATAAGCCAGATGTATTACAAATATTTGAGTTATCACAAGCGACACTAGATGTGACGGTTTTTGGGTAGGCTACTTGGCTACTAAAACTTATATAGGTCATATTGGACAATATATGTCACATGTAGAATAAATGACTTCCTTGAGTAATAAATATATTCAATTGCTTATTTATATGATATTATTATAAAATTAATACTAGTGGTTCTCATAATTATAATAACAGTAGTAATCTGAATGGGCACAACAACTAACCAAGTACCAGGGCATTTATTTGCTTCATGTTAATTGGCTTCATGTGGGGATGGAGTGGAGGCGGAGATGAGAAGGCTTGGAGTAACGGAGGAAGATGCTGCTGATCGATGGAGGTGGAGAAGAATTGTCGACAGGGAGGTCGTGCAGCACCTAGCTGACGATTCAGCCTGGATCATCCGCGAGAAACTACAACCAAGAAGAAGATGTGGTCACGTGATTGTAAGTGTTCATTTGATTTTTAGAAGTCAAAGTCAAGAAGAAACATGATGGAGGAAGTAAAAGCTGAAGACTCCAACGGAGAGTTTGAGATGGTTGGAAATGATTCAGCTGACCCAAAACCCACTCCTGCAGTCACAGCAACACACAGTCAATCCAGTACAACAGATACCTGTACTATAGGTTGGTGAAGCCAGAACAGTTTACGATTTTTAATTTACATGCGTTTACATATGTCATGAGTTTTTCTTGCACAGCTTGCTAACAAATCCATTAGGATAATACCCTGCAGGTTTATCTGAAACCACAAGTATTTGCGCATAGATTTGGTTAATTCTACCAAAAAGGAGAAGAAGAAGTAAATGTTGCTTGTTTGATTGGCAGGTAGTTGACTCTAGAAATTTGCTTGCATATGTGGTCATATCATGTATCACTTACACTGAATATTGCCATGTTAACAGGAGACTCTGCTGCAGTATCGGCTGGAGAATCTCACCCTACCTCTGTATCCTCAAATGAACCATCTCTCACAACCTCACGTGACCCCTCGCCCCTTCCCACATCCAACCTTTTCCCACAATCCGATGACACCACGTTCCAAGTTGGCCTAGGTGACCCTGGTATATCCCAGATAACAAGGGAGCAAGAGTCAGTGGATTCACCTGCTGAGCATACACATTATCAGCCAGGTCCTGCGGTTGCACCTGCTACCATCGCTGGAACACACATTGCAAAACACAGCTTACAGCAGCCAGCCGTACAGGCTCCGTATCCAGGCTATGCACCACAGCAGCCAGCAGGGCAGCTCGCCTACCCAGACTATGCACAGTCAACACAACCACAGGTCAGTCAACTTGGTCGTTACAGATGCCCTGGCTTGTATGTGTGTGACCATATATGCATGCGAATATTCGGGTGGGTGTCAGACTGGACATCCTGGTATGTTTCGTTGAAGGCACAGTAGAATTGAAGTCCCCGTGTTTCAGGGTCAGTATAACTTTGAGGAGCAGCAACAGTTTTATACACCATCATCGGTTGCGCATGCAGATGTATCACCTTACGCCCAGACTCCTGTGTAAGTATGAACATACTACGTACTAAATGAAATGACGTCAAATATAAAAGTATTCACCAATTTCGTGAACTTTTTACAAGTTTGTATATAATTTCTTCTTGTACAATCGTACAATTACTACAGCTACAAACCAACAAAATAATGCAAAACTGGAAATTATCACCTGTAAATTATTACGTTTAATTTATTATAAACATGAACTTTTGCATGTGTTTTTTTTTGTTTTAAATTCATGTTCGATGGTTTTGTTTATAGAGGTGATCTAAAATATTTGATGTTGGCTGTACATCTCATAATACCTAACTCGCCTGTAGCCTGGTCTATCAGGTATTCGACCATTCGAGGACTTCTCCAATATATATATAACAGACGTTCTGCATTTGCAAACTTGCGCAGCGTACAGGCGCCCGTCTCATATCAGATGGTAGGACCTAGCGGTGGATACGTCGGCGAGGATGTGTCGGTATCTAATTCAGACGACAGCAGCATGTGGGGCTGGTTCAAGGGCACTGTCACCCAGATCGCTCAGAACAACCTTGTGCACAACATTGTTGAGAAGACGAAGGTAGGGAGCACCTGTGTTGGGGGCACGGCACAATCGGTGTGGCAGGCTTGTTATGTGCTTTCATGCTAAAGAGAGACGCGAGCACCCAGTGAGTGCAAGCATTTGTGTTGTGCATGCCAAAGTTGTGTCAGTAGCAACAGTTTACAAAGCAAATTCATCGTTTCGCAGTAAGTGCAGTTAATTCACAACTGTTGCTGCTGCTAACAAAGATGAAAGGACAGTGCACAGGTATTGTGCCAGTCAGATAGAGTTTTGTGCTATACAAAAGTCTTTTCAGTGTTAGGTGCTTACATGTATGTACATGGATCTGTTGTGTGTTTAAAGCAGAGTGTTGGTCAATTAGATACATTCTGAAGAGTCACAGAAATGCTGTCGGTTTATTTCAGAGTTCAGTTGACTCGATGATAACCGCACTAGATCCACAAATGAAGGAGTACATTCGTGAGTACTTTGCTTACGGTTAGGAGCAATTGGTTATAATATCAAGAGCTAATAAAATACCTAGAGTGTACAACGGGAAAATGGGAAAATAGTGCTATTTCACGGCAATATTATTCTACTTTATATGCGGTTCTAGACTAAGTTCATGGTCTTGCGTTAAGCAGCATTCTTTGCTCTCTGAATTAAGATCAACCGCTTGTCTCTACGATACTCCTAGGCCGAGATATTGGAGCGTAATCATGCCTCCCACAGGCCTCACGCCGCCTCGCATCCACAATATTCACTATCCTTCACGCTTTTTGCGGGTCTGGCTATCGTTTTCCGTCACCGCTTAGAGCGCTGCCATGCCCAATTGATGTCACATGCCCAAATTTGGTACTCTTACTACACCATATAGTAACTGAGCTGCATTGTGTAGAGACTTAATTTAGAAAACATTGCCGGCTCCATCATGACGGGCATTAGCCGTGCTAGGAAAGATAACGGGAGATAAGGGCATAGGCGATGCCCCCAAAAGTCATCGATGATAACCGAAATGCCGTTCATTCATAAAGTTATCGCGGAAAAAACCAAACTCACGAAGCGACTTTCCTAACTTGCAAATGGCGTGAAGGATACTGAATATTGTGGATGCGAGGTGCCGTGAGGCCTGTGGGAGGGGAGGTTTACGAGCCAATATCTCAGCCTAGGAGTATCGTATTGACAAGCGGTTGGTCTTGTTTTAGAGAGCAAAGAATTCTGCTTAATGCAATACCATAAAATTATTCTAGACTCGCAGGCAAAGTAGAATAATATTGCCGTGAAATAGCACTATTTTCCCGTTTTCCCGTTGTACACTCTAGGTATTTATTAGCTCTTGATAATATCTCTATATATATATCTATAGTAAAAGGCTATGTCTTTGTAACCAATCACTACTTTATCTCGTTAAAAGGATTCACCCAATTTGGTATAAGAGCAGAGGCACTTGGTATATAACTGGCTGTAAGTCACTGATTATGAATGTTGCAGAATATTTTGTGCGGTACATCAACGCTGATGGTTACAATACAGATAAGACTCTGAATTGGTTGCATGAAGGATGTGCAAATAAAACAACATAATCAATGATCTTATCATTGTGCTTGATCCGTGCTGTAACGCAGGTCAAGGAGGTGATGTTGACATCATTGTGGCATCTGATAAGGAAGCGAAGGTCAGCCCTATCAGGCAAGCATTTCAGGACGTGTTCGGTAAAGCTGACGTGAACGGGCTTGCCGCGGACAACAGCATTGCTCCGCAGCCGGTTGGATTCACTGCAGGTATATATATATCTTTACCTATCTTCTATGTGCAGTAGAGAGCCTCGCAGCTTTGTCAATGCGATTATTAATTATGATTGCAAAGCTATGATTTTGCTAGCGCTTCATGTTTTATACTTCAGCGCATGCACAGTTCCAGTGTGTACCGCGGCGCATTTCGTTGGCGGTGTCTGGCTTTGCGGTAAAATACGTGATTGTTTGCCACAGAAACATTGATCGTGCATTGTGAAGGAGAGCTAAAAATAATCCCGTCCGTATATGAATATCGGAGTACGTGCTGTGGTAGCATCAGATTTGGTTACGTCTGAACGGTTACTTCGTGTGCTACTCTTTTTGCACGCCGGAATCGCACGAAATATGACATGAAATATAATTATACACCGAGCGTGCATTCTAAACGTTCTCGGTGTATCAGGTGTCATTATCCGACATTCTACCTGCGAGGAAAATAGGCGCATGTGTTACGAGTTCTATGTCAGTCAGATGAAGCTATCTACCTTATTCGAAGTAAATAGTAGGACCCTTAGTTACTCCTGCTCTTAATTCATTGAACGGTGTACAACTGTCAACCACGAGTATCGGCTGCGCTACCGCTATTAATCTAACCACAAACACAACATAGCAATATTTTGAAAAGCGGATTATTACTATTTCCAAGCAACGCTGCTGCGCTGCAGACAGGTGTCGGCAAGTTTCGCATGACCCATGTTTATATGTGTCCAGCCAAGCAAAAGCATAATAAATAATATTCGTTCGTGACAGCTGTGCAAATGCGTAGAAAATTACATAATCTTCACGTAACTTTGCCACGTATATAGCGCTTTTTACCATAAAATGGATTTCAATTTTGACGTAATAATTGTAAGCAAACAAAGCTAATATTGACACAGTTCCTTCGAATTATATAATTATAATAGCATGTAAACAGTCATGATCACCGCCATGAGCGATACAAGGAGAGAATAATTAAAATATGCATTCAAAACTATTGCTCAGCAATAGCACGCGCTCTCAGTGCATCTTCTGGGGGACAAGAGGCAGCAGCGTTCCCCCTAGTTTTAAATAAAAAAATAAAATAGCGAGTAATCAGCCAAATCCTACACAACATGTGATATATTTCTCAACAGTAATATGGATGCTGGTACAATAACCGTTTGGAGCAGTAATCTGCCAGGAGCGACCTGCCATGCACGCACGCACGCACGCACGCACGCACGCACGCACGCACGCACGCACGCACGCACGCACGCACGCACTATGTAAATATTTGCGTTAATTGGAAAACATGAGTTAAATGGATAAAGATAGAAAAATACAGAAAACAAGGAAATAATTAGAAAACATACGGGATTCGAACCACCGACCGTTGATACGTAACGACGCCGCGCTACCTGTATTGAAAATCACACATGACATATGCTAAATAAGAGCGAAGTCGAGTGAATGGAGTGCGCTGATTGGCTGTGGAAAGATTGGGGTCCGGAAATCAAGTGGGAAAAATATTTTCGCGTCCCGGGCGCACTCGCTCTCTAGCTCTCGCATCTTTACCTATAATTAAGCTCCTCCTCGTGCTCGATTATTTCTCTGATCTGCCGCTTCACTGATGGATTCGTAACGACTACGAATGTCCAAGGTTCCGTGTGGGCGCCACTAGGCGATGTACCTGCGTAACGGGTAAATAAAAGCATATAGGCGCTAGCAAACAAATTCGATAGTGTATAGCTAAAAGTCAGGCTAATGTTGAACAGGTCAGGCGTTATGTACGATTCAGTGTTTACATCCGTTCCGAGTTCAATTATCAATCTTGAAAATATGCATCCTGATGAATTTTTTTGACTTTTTATACTGTTTTGTACTTTATTTCGTTGAAGTACACGTTCGACACTCACGGCA